ATATATATATATATATATATATATATATATATATGAATAAAAGAAAGAAGGAATGAATGAACACAAAAAATAACTATCAAAAAAGGGTGTGATCATTCTCACTCTACAGTAGCAAACAAAAAAAAAAAAATGAAAAAACGAAAAAGAGAACTCTTGAGAGGTGAAGTAACTGTAGAAAGTACACACAAGAGACTTTGTGAAGAACCAACAGTAAAAAGAAAAAAGAAAAGAAAAAAAAAGGAATAATAATTATTAGCACCAAACAGGAATAGGATGGTATGAGGTAAACAAGTGAAAATACTAAATTTTGAGGATAAAAAGGAAAGAAAAGAAAAATGAGTGCTGTTTTTTTTTTTTTTTTCTTCCTTTCTTTCTTTTTCAATTGATCTCTTCGTAGATATACAAAACAAAAAGGAAAAAAAAAATACATGGATAAAAGAGAAAGGAAACAAACAGCCTTTCTGTTGTAAACACCACTCAATTTTATTTGTATTCTCTGCTTTTTGTTTCTATATGACTTTTTCTTTTCTTCTTTTTTCATACTGATTCCCTTTTTTTTCCTCTCTCTCTTCCTTTTTTGTATATCTTACTATTCTGTTTTTTTTTTTTTTTCTTTCTTTTTCTTTAATGCCTTTCATTGCGATTTTGAATTGTATCTATGAAAGTAAGAAAATGGAGAGAGTTGTGGCATTACATTGGAATTCTTTACTGTTTCTCAGACTGTTCATTATAATCACTGTATATATATATATATATATATATATTAGAAGGCTTGTGTCTTTATTTGTGTGTGGACTCACTTTTCTCTCTCTTTCTCTCTCTCTCTCTCTTTTCTTCTTATGCACATCCTTCATGCTGTTCACAGCACTTCCTCGTAAATGAGTTGTTTTTTTTTCCTTTAACACAGAGAAAGATAATATATCTATATATGTATGTATATATGTATAGATATAGGGTAAAAGAATAGGAACAATGAATGGAGTGAAGACGTTCATATAGATGAGTACATACATTTACTCATTTATTAGAAAAGAAATAAAAAAAGGTGTGATATTTCGCAAGTTTCTCCCCACATCTCTCTCTATCTCTCTCCTCCCTTCATTTCTTTTGTATATATATATATATATATATATATATATATATATATATGGAAGGTGTTATCTCCTTTTAAATTTCTTTCTTTGACCTCTGTCGGCTTGTATGTTTTGTTTATTTTCTTCTTAACTGTGCGTGCGTGGATTTACCTGTGTCAATACGATTTCTCTTCTTTCTTTTTTTTTCTCAAATTTTATCTTTTTTTTTTATTTCTGCTTTTTCCGCATTGTTCTATGAAGAATAAGTTGTCAAACATTTTCAGTGTGTGTTAGTATCCTTTTATTGATGGGATAGGTTTGTTATGTCTCTTTTTTATCTTTTTTTTTTATTTTCGTTTTTCATCATTAGTTCTGTTTCTTTTAATTGAAAGAAGGAAAGAAAAAAGAGAGAAAAGGGAATGTACGCATGTGTAGCGGGAGAAGCAAAGAAAAGAGAAAAAAAAGAATGGAAGTGAGTGGAACTAATGCCAAAAACCTTTACTCCTATGATCGTTCTTTTTCTTTATTTATTTCGTATAGGAGTATTCTCAACATTTTTCTTTTGTTCGCTTGTATGTTTCTATCTGTCTATCTGTCTTTTTATTATCTTTTCTTTACACCCCTTTTTCTTGTATATATATATATATATATATATATATATATATATATATACGCTTATGGACGTATTCCTATTATTTCTTCTTTGATCTTTTTTTATTACCTCTGTGATTCTGCGTTCTTTCCCACTCTCACTCTCTCTTTATTTGTTTGCCGCTCTCTGTCTTTCTTTCTTTCTGTCTGTTTCTCTTCTTATATACGTTGTTGAATTTCTTTCTCTTTTCCTCCTTTTTTTTTCTCTCATTTCTATTTATACCTCTATATATACATACATTAGTAGAAGTTATATTAATAGTTTAACTACGCCTGTGAAGGCTACTCCTCCGTTCTTCACATTTCTGAGGTATATATATACATATATTCATACATCAAAACATATACAGCAAACCTTATATTTCTGAATAATAATAGCAATAAATATATAGAAAAAAGAAAAAAAAAACGAAAGGGAACAACAACAAGAAAAAAAAAAAAGAACCTCATTCCACATTTTCTCACTAGTTTCTATTCTTCTTATTATCACTCCCATTCTCTATCATTTATATACATATATATTAAATGGCCCTCACAGAAACGGCGGTGGATGATCCCAAGACCCTCCGCCGCATAATGGCCGCCGCTCAGCCAAGCCAAAGCCACGTTGGCCGCATGATGGACGCCAGCCGCGCTCATGCTCATATGATCACCGGCTCTCCACTAAAGACATATTCCGCCGCCCGCAAAGAACGGGATCGGATGTTGTTATTACAGCGGGAACAACAGGCGGCGTGGGATGTTGCCGCCCAACGCAAATTATTATTGCCAGAACTTCGCACACTGGCCCCATCCTTCACAAAGACGGCAGATGAGGGACACAGAGATTTGGGCGGTACAAAGATTGGTGGTGCGGGGTATAATACCATTGTGGGTATGATTCCCACCATAGAAACCATTAAACAAATTGCCGATGATGATGAGTTGATCAGCAGTTTTCGTCCTTATCGTATTGATGCCCTTCGGGCCGCACGGTTGGCGGAAGCTGCGAAGGAAAGTGCCCCACATCCAGACGATACACGTCAATTAGAACCAACACTCTGTGCTCTTGCAGCGAATCGATTAATTGATGTCGCCGCCATTCCAGATGATGTGGCTCGCGATCATTGGACAGCCGCTTCTGTATTTGCCGCCACTAATATCATGGATGAAACCATGGTCACGACTCAACCTTCTACACAACCCGCAGAAACGATTTGTCCACTCTCGGCAAGATCATTACATTTGGATGATGGTACATCCGAAAAACAATCCCCACCAACAGGGACATCCAGTTTTCTCACAACAGAGCGATTTAAAACACCGAGAAAACTTCCTGGTGTACGTCAGCCGGATATTGGTTTTTATCATGTGCGGTATACACAAGTAGAGCCGCGTGTGGTGGGTGGATATATGGAAGCAAGAGAATCGGCCGCCCCACAGAAAAGTCGTGCATCTTCAACGGAAAATGAAAAGAGTGTGGAACGTGATACCGATTCACAGAAAACACCTCCACACGGGGCAACGATGGTCATGGAAGGTACAAAAGATAATAACTTTATGGCAACAACATTTAAAAGTTTATCGGCAACAAGAGGTGCTGTTCCTATTCCAGATACGGCAGCCCCAACACCTGCACCGGAGTCCAGTACACCGAGAAAAACTACACCAGGTGTACAGGGGAGTTCTATGTTTCTATCTAAAACTCCACGTTCTCTACCTTCTACCTGTAGTGCGGCGAAAGATTTGGATTACTTCCCATATGCAGATGTACGCTCAACTGTTAAACGAACCCCTTGTCCAGTTAAGTTTGATGTTACACTTAATGAACGTCGACATGAGTGTATGTCATCCAATGCCACCGTTGGTATGTATAATCTTGCAGGAGATATTTCACAGCATCCACATCGTGTTGTTTGTATGGACCGTGAGAGTAGTCGTGCTGCACATTGGTTAAATAAACCACCACCATATCAACAATCACCAGAATTTGTGAGTGTAGATGATGCACTTAACCTTGTACGACCACGAACACGTGTGGTTTGGATGGCACCACAAGTTTCTCTTGACGAACAACAACGACAACAACAACAAAGTATACAAAAAGCTCCTAATACCACAGTCTCTATTGAATGTGATCCCAATTTCCCACGCAGATTATTTGATCATTGTGAGGCAAAGAAGATTCCACGTTTTGCTACAATGATGGGTCGTCCTATTACAACTCTACAACGAGTACCAGAAGCCCCTATGGAGGTTGAACTCAAACATGTGGAAAAAAGCATTCCAGCTGTAAGTATTCATCCAACCGCACCTGGACACGCTCCGCTGCACAATCCACATCCAACAGAGATTGGAGAGATACCGAATCTTAAATGGGTAAAACCACGAAGAGATCGTACCACAGATTTTGGAAACCCATACTCCACATTACCACCACCAACACTACCTAGAGCACATGATCTCTCTTACGACACCAGCAAACGCGCACTCGTTGAACCCCGCCTCACCGGCAATCCCATGATGGAAACACAAGTCTCACGTGAGAAACGTGCAAAGATATTCGCCACCAGCGGTTGCGGTGCACCTGTGGTGTATGATGTCAATCAACAACAACCGTCCAAGTTGGTGCCGGTATTTGAGAAGCAAATCACAAAGGAAACACAGTTCTGTGGACATAGACTGCAATCCGAGCGTTGGCAACGCAAAAATCCACGTGCACCAGGACCTGGTCACTACGATGTTTCCTACCGTCTTGTTGAGTAATGTGTAACTCAGATGTACAATATATACATTTGCCGGTATGTATGTACCTTGGTAATGCGAAGGGTAAAACAGAAGCAACACAACTAACAGATATGCAAAAAAAAGAAAAGAAAAAAAAAAAGCAAGATAAACGAAAATGGAATAAAATAAGAAACGACTGATTAGAAACTCGTTCTGAACATGAAAATTATTTTTACATTTTTCCAACAAGGTGTAGTCCACATGTAAAAAAAAAAATGTACAGAAAATGAAAAAAAAGATGCACTGCTGTGTGCGTGTAGGGTTGTCATTGTTTGTATGAATGTGTTTGATTTCGTGCCTCTCTCTCGTATTCTCTGCATAATGGGTTTCTTTTTCTTTCTTTTCCTTTCTTTCGCACTTTTCTCTCCCTCCCTTCTCTGTTGCGCCTGTTATGCACGGACTAGAAAAGCTAACCAATCAAGCTACTTTGCTAACCACAAGTACAAACACATACATCAGCAAGCAGGAGACGACCGTCCCTGACATGCGTCACCCTGTGTGCGTTGCGCTGCTACTGCTGCTGGTGCTGTGCTGCGCCTGCGCGTGCCCTGCGCTCGCTGATGGCGCATCGCCCGCTGCTGTTGTGCGGCACCTGCCGCGGGCCGGACGCGCTGCCCAGGACACGTACACCGTCGCCGCCGAGAGT